CCGCTATTTCTAGCTGTGCGCACTCCCTGGGAGCGCGCGCGAGCACCGCAATCCGGGGCCCCCCCAGTGTCCTCCGGACACAGTGGAACACCGATCGTCGGACGAGACCTCTGTACGAGGTCCCGATCATGTGATCGCTGATTGGCCAATCAGTGATCACATTGCAAAGTAGTAAGCAAGATGTCACTTCTGACATCATTGCTTACTACCTGTGAAATCTGTGAATGATCACAGAGGTCACATGGTACATGGGGCTATTCACAACAGTCTTGTACCATGTGACAAGCTGTAACCAATCACAGCTCTCACAGTAGTTTTCAATGGCTGCAAGACTGCAGACAGAGAGAAGGAGAAATGATTGCTTTTTTTACATCCTATATGAGTGTAAAAAGCATTCACTGTAAAAAAAAAATAAAAAATCTTCATCAACCCCAAGTAGTACAGTGTCACCATTGGTGAACCCTCACTGCTAGGGTGACAGTATGTAAAAAATAAATAAATAATAAATATAAAAAAATAAAATTGTAAAAAAAATGTTTTAAAAATTATAATTTTTGGTTATAAACTAATTTGGCTTATTTTTTTTTTTTTTTTACTAAAAAGATAACTGAATACATTTTGGCCAAGATTTATGATGAAAGAATGTTTATTTACAAAATGTTTTAAGAAAAACACTTTTTTTTTCAAAATGTTTGGATGTTTTCATTTATATAGCAAAATAAATAAAAAATCCCAGCGGTGAATAAATACCACCAAAATAAAGATAATATCTGTCTCAAAAAATGGTAAAAAATTCATATGGGGTACAGTGTTGCATGACCCGCGCAATTTGTCTTATCAAAGTGTAAAAGTGGACTGGGAAGGGGGGGGAAAGTGTACGGACTGGAATTGGGTGGAAAGTGTCCTGGACTGGAAGGGGGGGGGAAAGTGTCCGGACTGGAAAGGGGGTGGGTTGAAAGTGTGCCCGGACCAGGAAAAGGTGGGGTGAAAGGTTCCTGACTGGAAGGGGGGGAAAGGGGAAATGCTGTCCGGACTGGAAGGGGGGGAAAGCGTTCCGGACTGGAGAAGAGAGGGGAAGAGCGTCCGGACTGGAAGGGTGGGGGAAAGCGTCTGACTGGAAGGGGGGGAAAGCTTCCGACTGGAAGGGGGGGAAACAGTGTCCGGACTGGAAGGGGGGTGAAAGCGTCATGACTGGAAAGGGGGGAGGAAAGCGTTCTGGACTGGAAGGGGGGGAAAGCGTCGGATGAGACTGGAAGGGGGTGAAAGCGTCCTGACTAGGGAAGGGGGGGAAAAGCGTTGGACTGGATGGAGGGGGAAAGTGTCCGGACTGGAAGGGGGGGAAAAGCGTCCCTGGACTGGAAGGGGGGGAAAGCGTCCGGACTGGAAGGGGGGGGAAAGCGTCCGGCAAGACTGGAAAGGGGGGGAAAGAGGTTCGGGACTGGAAGTGGGTCAAAGCGTCCGGACTGGAAGGGGGGGGGAAAGCGTCCGGACTGGAATTGGGTGATGTGTGAAAGCGTCCGGACTGGAAGGGGGGGAAAGCGTCCGGACTGGAAGGAGGGGGGAAAGCGTTCTGGACTGGAAGGGGGGGAAAGCGTCCGGGACTGGAAGGGGTGGGTATGAAAGGCGTCCGGGACTGGAAGTGGGGGAAAGCGTCAGACTGGAAGGGGGGGAAAGCGTGGACTGGAATTGGGTGGAAAAGCGTCCGGACTGGAAGGGGGGGAAAGCGTCCGGGAACTGGAAGGGGGGAACGGCGTCGGACTGGACAGGGGGGGAAAGCGTCCGGACTGGAATTGTGAAAGGCGGGAAGTGAAAGCGTCCGGACTGGAAGGGGGGGAAAGCGTCCGGACTGGAAGTGGGGGAAAGCGTCCGGGACTGGAAGGGGGGGAAAGCGGTACTGGAAGGAAAATGCGTCCGGACTTGGAAGGGGGGAAAGCGTCCGGACTGAAGTTGGTTGAAACAGTCCCGGCCTGGAAACTCCGTAAGGGGGGGAAAGCGTCCGGACTGGAAAGCGTCCCCGTACTGGAGGGGGGGAAAGCGTCCGGACTGGAAAGGGGGGGGAAAAGCGTCCGGACTGGAAGGGTGGGGGAAAGTGACGTCGCCCGACTGGTAAGGGGGGGGGGGAAAGCGTCCGGACGAATGGAAGGGGTTAAAGTGCACTTTATAAAGAGTTTTGAGGAACAAATACTTTTTTCTGACCTCCGGAACGGATTTATTGGTTTTCGATGCATTTACTAATTTTTTCTTCAATTAATCTGTTCGTATTGCCAAACAAATTCACAAACAGAGCCGTTATTTTCAATGGATTTTCATTTTTTAGACTGAAGATTCCGTTTCCCGAGGCGTTGGAGGTACACCTGAACACACAAAGGTGGAGCTGCCGCCGCCGTGTCATTCCCCGGGTCTCCGCTTTCAGAAAATAGATAATTTTTTTTTAGGGTTTTTTTTCAACTAATTTTCTAGCATAACATTTTCTTTAATATTTAACAAAAACATAAATTGCATCTCCAGAAGTTGATGTTTATGTTAGATCTCAGCAACTGGAGCAGTCACACCTCACTGGCCTATCAGGGTTATATTCCGGCGGAGTGTGATGATTGGGGGAGAATGAGACGTATTTGTTGGGAGGGGTGGGGTGGGAGCGTGTGGCTGCTGACAATGTCATGTGATGACGCATCCTCTGTCTATACAACAACTGGTCTGACTTGTTTGTTAGAAGTGATTGTGTGTGCAAGAAACAAGTTTATAATCATCAAGGAACCAACTTCTATCAGAGGTTGCACTATATAGCAGAGCTGTGTAAATTTCAGAACTGGATGGACACAATGTAGAAATCCTTTGGCAGGTAGAACAGGTCTATTATAGGCAGGGGTGGACTGACCATTTGGAAACTCGGGCACTGCTTGAGGGCCCGGGTCAGTAGGGGGCCCCATGAGATGCCCCTGGTACCTTTTTCATAGGCTTTTTGAGTTTGGGCAAGGACACAGGGGCCCCATGATCCCCTATTGCCCGGGGGCCCCATGAGTTGTCAGTCCACCTCCGATTATAGGCACACATCTGTGTATTTGACAATCAGTCACCTTGGTGGTGGGAAAGGGGATGCCAATGTAGAAAGTGACCCCCCCCCCCCCCATTGACATGTAGCATTAGTACACTAGGTGCTCCTGTAGGCGGCAGACCCCGTCACTTATTAACATGGAGGAACCCTTGAATGGGTTAAATATGGAGAGGGGGCAGGTTTCACTAGTAACTGACCAATCGGATCTGCTTTCACAGCAGTCCTGATTGGGACTTCTCCACCATTAGGGACTTATGGCACCCATGAACATTGGTGTGGGAAGTGTGCACTCCTCTATGGCACCTGCTGTGAATGCCCCCCCCCCTCTCTTCGTACAATACCTGGTTGATCTGCGATTATCATTGCCTGTGGCCATGCCACCACAGTGGATCTTCTAGCTGTTTCATTGCCACTCAACTGCACCATCATTACCCAGACAAGCAGTCACCAGGATGGCACCAGCATGAGGAATGACCAATCCCTGTCCCCAGCACCCCACCCCATGGCTTTACAGGGGCAGCTTGCAGGGAGGCTCAGTCATGTTTTGTAGCACAGAAGCATAAAAGTGCCAATGGAAACAATATGGACTTCCTTGATATTAGCAGTGTGGGCTGCAGGTTTGTATGAACTGTCCTACCCTCCAAGTGTGGTGGAAGCAACCTCTTCATGGAAAGGGGGGGGGGGGGGCAGTGAAACAAGACTTTTATTCTGACCTGTGCATTGATTGGACTGGTTGATGACCCATATGAAATGGTCTTCCCCCCCATCCTTGACAACAGCTGCCTTGACCCAACTACTTTATTACCCAGCCCCACCATCCCCGACTATACTCGCCACCCCCCCCCCCCCCTGACCCAACTACTGTGCCCTAGTCCCCCTCATTCTTGACCCCAACTATGCTCACCACACCCTCAATCTTGACCCCAACTATGCTCACCACCCCCCCTTAACCCAACTACTCACTACACACACCCCCCCCCATCCTTTACCTCTGCCTTGACCCAACTAATCTCACCAGCCCCCCCACTCCTTGACCTCTGGCTTGACCCAGCTACACTCACCACCCCCCCAATCCTTAAATTTCTGGCTCAACCCCAACTACACTCACTTGCCCCCCAATCCTTGCCACTCTTGCTTGACCCAACTACACTCACCCCCCCCCCTTGACCCAACTAACTCACTACACCCCCCCCCCATCCTTTACCTCTGCCTTTACCCAACTAATCTCACCAGCCCCCCCAATCCTTGACCACTGGCTTGACCCAGCTACACTCACTGCCCCCCCATCCTTAAAATTTCTGGCTCAACCCCAACTACACTCACTTGCCCCCCAATCCTTGCCCTCTGGCTTGACCCAACTACACTCACCACCCCCCCCCCCCCCCCCCCCCCCCCCTTGACCCAACTACTCACTGCCCCCCACCATCCTTTACCTCTGGCTTGTCTCAACTACTTACCTGCCACCTACATTAGCGGTCATCAAAAAACACTCCATTATACATTGCATTATACATTGCTGAATATATGACTGGTTACACCGTCTGAGATTGGTCAAGTCAGGCACTCATAGCAGCCATTGGAAGAACTTGAGATCCCAAAACAATCATGGCTGGAAAAGGCAACTGTAGTGTGTTATACATCAGAGCTGATCCGTCATCATCACAGAAGTCCTAAATTGCTTTCTAAAGCAGATCTCCACAACCCCACAAAGCACACATTGACAAAACTAAATACAACTGTATTACCCCATAGCAGCAAAATTACATGCAATGTTAAAGAAAAAAACAACAAACCCCATTTACACCAGTTTTAAGGATTTATTGGAATAAAAGTGCTGTGATGTCACTCTGACCTGCCAGAACATGACACAAGGTAGAGGCAAGTGCTGGTTATTAATACTTTGAACAGCAGTTAACGGACCACTGGAAGACCAGCAGAGGACGGCTCAGTTCTCATACAGCCATTGGTGGGCACAGCCGCAGTATTCAACCAGTTCATTGTCTTTGAACCACAAGGCAATCTCTTTCTTGGCACTTTCCACGGAGTCACTGCCGTGACAGATGTTCCTGTAGGACAGAATGGGACAAATTAGTCAAAAAAAAGCAATGTAGTCCATAACTACACCATAGAAGGTAAATGGCAGAAGTAATGCAATATCCTAAGACATGGATGTGCAAGTCCTTGTGCTGTCCCTGCCAGGTAGATATGGCGTTTCAGATCAAGAGCCCTTAAAATGGATGTGGTCACCTGGCCAGATATGTGAAGAGCCCTTAAAATTGACCTCTAGCAGCTTGACTCTTTTTAAAGATGTCCCAATAGGCAAGGCAGAAAGTCTGACCACAATACCTATTATGGCACAGGTGTCAAACTAGTGGCCCTCCAGTTGTTGCCAGACTAAGAGTCCCATGAGGCATTGCAAGATTGGCAGTTACAAGCATGACTCCAGGCAGAGGCATGATGGGACTTTGTTTTGCAACAGCTGGAGGGCCACCAGTTTGACACCCCTGCATTAAGGGATTATATAAAATGCACTGCTGCCAGAGTCAGATTTGGTGATATCACCGTTCTCCTTGCTGGAGAGGAAGCTGTACCCAAGGACCTGCAGGGCAAGAAACTGCATCGTTCCATGATCTGCTTATACCCCCTCCCACTTCTTCCTGACTACCCCCACCCCTTCACTAGTCAAGGGGCAGCTTTGACATGACAAAACAAAGGCATGCTTCCAGCAAGATGGCTGCCTCCATAGAGTGCAGTGTGGGAAAGGTCAGCTACAGTGTGTAACAGGCAATGCTGGCAACTATCCAAGAAAGAAATGTCTGCACGAACCATTTAAAAAAAAAAAAAAATTAATGACTATTCAGTGGCTAAATGGTTATCACTTCCACCTGGCAGTACTCAGGTTGCTCGTTCGATTCCCAACCACAACACCAGCTGCCTGGAGTTTGCATGTTCCTACTGTGCAGATTTCCTCCAGGTACTCTGGTTTCCTCCCTCACTCCAAAGACATGCTGGTAGGTTAATTGGATCCTGTCAAAATTGGCCCTAGTATGTGTATGTATGAATGAGTTCGGGACCTTAGAGATTGTACACCCCTCGGGGGCGGGGACGGATGTGAAATAAAAAAAAATTTTTAAAAAAATTATAATATATATATGCTGTGTAAATGGACACCGCTATACAAGTATCTGAAATATTCTTGAACATTGTATTTGTAGCCAAAGCCAACCACTATGAAGCTGCAACAACCCATCGCAAGCCCATCTCTGGCTGACACTGACCGGCAACAATCTGCACCGTATACAACTTGGCCCATGCAGGCAGATCAATGTACAGAACCACAAATGCCATCTGACCCATATAACCACATTAACAGACCGCCGAATCCTATTACACAGTGCAGCACCACAATGCCATCTGACCCAAATATTCCTGCATTGCAGAACCGTACAAACAGCATTAACAGACCGCGGCACAGGCTGCCAAGTTGCGCCGGGTTTTTAAAAGTTAATCTGGAGCCCCACACTAAGCAGATTAAAAAAAAAAGGTCACCAACATGGCTTCCTCTGACCGTTCACAAAGGCCAAGAATCAAGAGTGCAGCTGCCAATCCGCTTTAGGCAGTCATTCAGGACAGAAAACAAATCCTTGGAACGCCACATCTACCCACTGATCCCCCAATGCCACGCCGAAGCCTCTTAGTGTGAGCCATGCCTGCAGCTACAGGATCCGGCAATGTTCATGGAGCGAGATCCTAGAGATTGGAAGAAGCCTTACACAAAAATACCCCCAGATAGCATTTCAACTCCGCATCAAGGCATTGAGATTTATAAAAAAAAAAAAAAAAAAAACTGCAAAGAATGGGAATGTTTGCCATCTGCAGGCTGAGACTAGAATATCCGGAGCTTTTACAGCCCCCCCTTACTCCACAAAGCCAAAGTACAGAGACTCCCAGGTATGCAGCAACAGAGCCTACTACCCTGATGCTTGGGCCCCATGCAGGGGTTGGGTGGAATCCTTAGGCTGGCCATACATTATACAATTTTCTTTAGAAAATGGCTTTTAGATTTACCAAAAACCATATAATAGGAGGTCAAACCTGAACACTTTGAATTGTCTCCAATTAGGCGGGGCCCTTGTACTACATAGTTGATGGTAAATCTAAAGAAAATTGGGCAGAAATTGAACAGAAAATGGTAGTTGGCCTATTGTACTAATAGAACAGGTAAAATCTAAAGGAAATTGAACAGAAAATGGTATAACAGGCCATACACCACCAGTTTCTGTTCAATTTCCTTTAGATTTACCTTCAGCTATGTAGTACAACAGCCGGCCTAATTGGAGACAACTGAAAGGGTTCGTTTTGACCTCATATGGTTTTTGGTAAATCTAAACCAAAAATTTCAAGAAAATTAATGTATGGCCAGCCTTATCCTCTAAACACCAACTTAGAGTGGCTGAGATCACAGCTTCCTTCAGGGCTCTGGGGGGGGGGGCCCTGGGCTGTCAGAAACGGGGGTGTTAGGCAAAGCCCTTTGTAGGCACCAACTAATAGGTCAACAAAGAACTCTCGGGCCCCATTCACACTGAGATATTGAATTGCAGGCAGAATCTTGCAATGTCAAGACTCTTAAAAATGACAATTTCAGAACCGCATGTTCAGGTGCCATTTTAAATGTAGTGTGGTTCTGGTGCAGTAACACCAAGCATGTTGCCTTCTGCGTGCAGCTCCCTCCCCCAGCCCCCCCCCCCCCCCCCCCCCCCAACACTTACCCAAGCCCCCTCAATCCAGCAATGTGCACAAAAGCCTTGCCTCTCCCATGTCTCATTAGCCAAGACAGCAGCAGGAGCCACTGGCACAAGGACAGAGGGACAGAGGGACCAATGGTGTTTGCAGAGTGGCCCCCAAGTTCTTGTATTCTGGGCACAGGTGCAGCATTAGGAGGGCCATTATGTACCATTTAGGGGATATGGAAATGCATAGGGGGGGGCTTGAAACAGTTGCTGAGGGTGAACTTACACCAACCCTTTCACTGCCAGGTCTGTACATCATGGCCTGATGGGGGGCGGGACATGGCGGCTGCAGCCACTGGGATGGTGTACAACACTGAACGGCAGACTCCAGCCTGTCAGGTGAAGCAGTCGGGTGGCTGTGCTGCTGCCAGAATTGCAGCCACAGCTGCTGGTACTGAAGCAACCACCCCCCCACCACCCCTTTAGGCAGATGCCCTTAGGCTCTGCTTGCCCATTTGCAGGTCTGGGGGGGTGCCATTGCACAGCAGGTGAATGTCCGCTCTCCTCCTTTCCGTGACCCAGGAGGAAACTTATTAGAAGTCACTTCTGGGTCACCACTCACTTCCCCCAGATAGAACAGCCAGGGAGAGATTTAGTGCAATGTGATCTGCATTTCAATACATCCGAGGACCAGTCCCTGCATGTCTCAGAACTGGTCACCTAACATAGGGGACTGTGTCCCCCTAAGTGATGAAATAGGGCATAACATCCCCCTAAAAATTTGAGGCCCCCACCTACATGAATGTAAATGCACATGTTGGGGCACTACACATGAACACTGATTACAATACACCTGTTACATATCGCTGCAAAACACTACCGGACTGAGCAATAATTCTAGCTCAAGAACTCCTCATTCGTACTAAACTGATGACCTGTAGGGGCTTTTGCAGAGTCTCCTATAGAATATAGGCTACTGAAGTGTCTCCATTTCATAGGCGCACAAAATTTAGGGTTAGGCATCCATTTAGTGCAACCTAGTCTTATATTTTACCAAAAATTTGGGCAATTTCATTTGTTTGCCCTAAAAATTGAGGGTCTTTACTAAAATGTTGCGTTTCCCCAGACATTTGCAGTAATGTGGTGGCAAAAAATATTGGAACTACCACCATTTTATTTCTCTAGGGTGTCTGTTTTCAGAAAATATATGTTTGGGGGTGGGGGTGTGCAACAGTCAGTCCTAAAATGTTTTTTTTTTTTTAACCACTTCCCGACCGGCCGTTGTATATAAACGGCCGGACAGTGGCAACTGCAGGGTCGGGTGGCCGTCTATAAACGGCCTCCCCGCACCCTGCTTGTGCGCGCTCCCTGGGAGCGTGCAACCGCAATCCGGTGCCCGCTGTGTCCTCCGGACACAGTGAAACACCGATCGTCGGACGGGACCTCTGTACGAGGTCCCGATCATGTGATCACTGAAATCAGTGATCACATGCAAAGTAGTAAGCAAGATGTCACTTCTGACATCATTGCTTACTACGTGTGCAATCTGTGAATGATCACAGAGGTCACATGGTACAGGGCTATTCACAAAAGCCTTGTACCATGTGACAAGCTGTGACCAATCACAGCTCACTGTATTTCTCAATGAGTGCAGGAATGCACACAGAAATGATTGCTTTTACATCCTATATGGGTGTAAAAAGCAGTGTAAAAAAAAAAAAAAAAAAATCTTCATCACCCCTCACAAGTAGTACAGTGTCACCCATGGTGACACTGTACTGCTAGGGTGACAGTATGTAAAAAAAAAAATATAAAAAAATAAAATAAAAATGTAAAAAATGTTTAAAAATTATAATTTTTGCTTATAAACTAATTTGGATTTTTTTTTTTTTTTTTTTACTAAAAAAGATAAAAAACGGAATAAATTTTGGCTAAGATTTATATGATGAAATTTTATTTGCAAAAATTTTATTAAAAAAACACTTTTAAAAATTTTTTGGACATTTCATTTACATAGCAAAAAATAAATACCACCAAAATAAAGCTTTATATCCATCTAAAAAAAAAATGGTAAAAAAAAATTATTTCATTTGGGTACAGTGTTGCATGACCGCGCAATTGTCATTCAAAGTGTGATAGCGCTAAAAGCTGAAAATTGCCCTGGTCAGGAAGGGGGGTAAAAGTGTCCGGTCTGGAAGTGGTTAAAACATGCAAAACCTGCTCTGGCAGCAAAAGGGGCTCAACTACAAAGCTGAGTAAAACATGCAAATATGCGGAGTTGGGAGTGTCACGTTCGCTCTGGTGGTTGACTAGCAGCTGGTAATCCCAAGAAGCCTCCAGCAGCAAAGATCTCACAAAGCACACTGAGAATCCGCCAAACCAAGACACCTGTACACCTCTGGTACCTACCTTCCAACCTGTATGCAGAAGTCTCCTCTGATGGTGCCAGGTTTGGAGTCAACTGGGTTGGTCTCACCAAGCATGACACGGCCAGTCTTCACCACATTCATTCCCTGCCAGACCTGTGAGCAGAGGAACATGAATCAGGGGGAGCGGTGCAAAAAGATTTATCCACCCCACACAACCCAATCACCACCAACTTCAAGGAACATTAACCAGCGGTGGTGTCACCAGGCTCAAGCATGTCATGTAAGTTAGGGAGAGCTACAGCAGGTGGGACGCTATGCCACGGGCGCCACGAGGGGCCCCGGCGGCCATCTTGCATATGTACTTGGTCAGTATTGTTTGATCTGTTGGTACTTCTGCTCTCTTGTGCCTGAACACTGAATACCCTAAGGATATTACACTATGGCCCTCTGAGTTCCTATGAGAACCAACCAGGTTGACAGAGCAGCCACATCTATCAAAGCACCAGGCAGTGAGAGTCACGTGACCAGATCAGTTGGATGACACCAGATGTTCAGCAGGCCTAATATTAATGCGCATTTAGTTTGCGTATCTGGTGAGTGCGCAATCTTCATATTTTTTATCACCTTCACGGTTCCATATATTGGATGTCTGAAGATCATCTGAGATCTCAAGAGCACTCCTGCTTTGGACTTTTTTTATCATTATTTCCCTCACTTTACAGCCACTATTAAGTGGCCTTATTACAAGCACATGGTCACTGGATTTGCTTTTAATTTTGACTTTTAATACTGTGGATATATAAACTTTTTTTTAGCGCTGCACCCCCTCTTGTATATCATGTAAGATAGTTACTGCACACTGCAGTCACCAATGTACATCGAGCGAGTACAATCCAAATGCACATGTTCTGGCGTTAAATGTCTGTGTGTATAAGTGGGTGCTGCAGCAACCAAACAATCAGAAAATGAGAAACAGCAAAGGAGTCACCAGCACACTGAGGACCACCAAGATGGGTCTAAAAGTTTTAATGAATGATCATAGGTACCACGCAAGGCAACATTTTTGCAGTCTTGCAGGACCCCTCCCATCAGGCAGCACTCCCATCAGGCAGCACTCCCATCAGGCAGCACTCCCATCAGGCAGCACTCCCATCAGGCAGCACTCCCATCAGGCAGCACTCCCATCAGGCAGCACTCCCATCAGGCAGCACTCCCATCCCTGATGGAATCTTGCCTGATGAAGTGGTCCTGTGAGACTCCAAAACATTGCCTTGCTGTAACTATGATCATTCATTAAAAGTTTTGGACCCGTATTGGTGATCCTGTGTGCTGGCGACTTTCTCCCTTGCCAATGCACATTGAGGACCAGGGGCGGACTGACAACTCATGGGGCCCCCGGGCAATAGGGGATCATGGGGCCCCTGTGTCCTTGCCCAAACTCAAAAAAGCCTATGAAAAAGGTACCAGGGGCATCTCATGGGGCCCCCTACTGACCCCGGGCAGTGCCTGAGTTTCCAAATGGTCAGTCCGCCCCTGTTGAGGACACATATCCAAGTGTCAGATTGCAGGAAAACCTACAGATTACATGCGGGGCCGGTCTCTCTCCATGCCGGGTGCAGAAACAGGAGGGACTCATACTATCCCAGCTTGTACTCTGCACAAAGGAGCACAACACGTCCCAAACACTGCATCCACAGTGCCATAGGTCAGTATGTAGATAGTCCTGTAGGTCCAGAAGTTAGTTTTGCTGGAAATCCTTTGACAATTCCCTGCAGATGATGTGAAACTCCGCAGAGATCATCACTTCCCAGACTTCAATTTCTAAGTCCGGCTCTCCTGTGCAGGAGGATTGTGCCCTTGGCGGTGTTTGACAGAACAGTACCCCTCCCTACAATAAGGCTTTGTATAGACATGCCGCTAGCACTGCCACACCTTCCACGGTGGATCACTTTTCAGAGGCGTTTGGCAGGTGATGAGGTGGCAGTGTGTTACTTCCTCACTGCCTGTGTTAACCCTGTAAATGCCACCCCACCGCCCTCATGTGCATTACAGGCAGTTGCAGCATGGCTCCATTCCCTTGAATGAGCTGCATTTGGCAGCAGTACTGTCTGCTGAACCAGACTGGTAAAGTTTTCCCCACCGCCATGAAGCCAGCAGCTGCACGTGTATATTCCCATAAGCTCAGGGGGAGTTGCAAAACATGGCTCAATTTCCTGCTTTTACCTACCCCCAAGCATAAGTGAGCCACAAAAGTCTATGCATTTGTAACCAGATTATGCAATTGGCTGCTAATGGCAATACCAAGCATGTCCCAAGTGTTGAAAATCTTCTTCCATAAGTTCTAAAGTACTTTATTTTAGATTGTATATGGAAAGTTATAACCTAGTCAGGTTTTTTTTAGCATGCCAATTAGGGGGATTTTCCTTCACTCCCTCACTATGAAGACAGAAAATCCCTCCAAAGTGAGGAAATCCATGAACTAGTGACCCCATTGGCAAATTTACCCACTTCCTGTTCTGGTTATAACTCATAATTTGGGTTTCTCACTTTCCAAAAATACAGTAAATTGAGGGAAAAGGGTGACCCCCCAGTGGGGACATAAGATCACCCTCTAATACCTCTCCCCTAGCCAAAATAAGTTTTCCATTTAATTAACGAATACTTTTAACTTTTTTTGCCATAGTATGGTGACTGCCATGACACTTGTCTGTAGTAACGCTCTTCAGAAGCCATTGTAACCATCTTACCCACCAGCACACAATCAGTCCATCCCAACAATAAAGACTCACCATGGCTACCACAGGACCAGAGCCCATGTACTCCACCAGTCCATTGAAGAAGGGACGGTCCTTCAGGTCAATGTAGTGCTGCTGAAGGAGTTCTTTGCTGGCCTAAGAAAGGAGAGAAGGCAGGCCATTAGTATCCCATTTATAAGACAGAAGATACTTTGGGGGAAATTTACTAAAAACTGGAGCACTCAGCTGTGCATGGTAACCAGATTCTAACTTCAGCTTGTTCAAGTGTTACTAAACCCCCAACAGTACAATCAGTCTGTAGATGCAGTAAAGCATGCTTGGTATACTCACTGTGGGACCTAAGGGGTTAATCCTCTGCATTGTGTAAAAAAGCTGTTGGATCCTGTTTTCTCTGATCCTCCCCTTCTGTCACCAATCCATCTGCTAATAGTACAGCGCTCTAGGAGTCACTCTGCACATGCTCAGTTTAGAGTTATCGCTAGAGCATTTTTTCATAGAAGAGTGCATGTGATCAACACAGGGCCAATCAGCACTGTCCAGACAGGGTCAGGGGTCAAACAGCCTCACAGGACAGAGGAGAAATGAACACTCAAAGCTGTAACCAGTGCTCTGATGAACACTCAAAAGTCACAAGACTGCTATATACGGCTGATGAGAAAAAGCATTTAGCAATTTATATTTACTAAAATAAATGCATTTCCATGTTGTGTACTGTGGGGAGAGCGGATATAGTGAATGCAGGGTCCGGGGAAGCGGATACAGCGGCGGGGCCCGGGGAGAGCGGATACAGCGAATGCGGGGCCCGGGGAGAGCGGATACAGCGAATGCGGGGCCCGGGGAGAGCGGATACAGCGAATGCGGGGCCCGGGGAGAGCGGATACAGCGAATGCGGGGCCGGGGAGAGCGGATACAGCGAATGCGGGGCCCGGGGTTTAGTAACACCAAGCTTTGCCAATAAAACCCGGAAGCCAATTGGTTTCTATGCAGATCTGCACCAAATTTTGCACTACAGTTTTAGTAAACCTCCCTTTGCTTTAGTGCAAATCTTACATTCCAGGTAAAGGGTCCAATAACACAGGGGAAGGGGGGGCATGAATCTCCCATCATGGACAGGCCAACAACAGATGACACCCCTTCACCATTAACCAAAGGTTTAGGCTGGAATACTAATGCAAGGTAAGCCTCCGGGAATGGGACCAGTTCACACTCCAAGCATTTCAGTGTTTTTCCTGCATCCAAAATGCACACAAAGTAGGTTATATGGTTGTATGTCAGATCACATCAGTGCTTGCAGTTCCAGCATTTGTCCTGCACAGAACTGGTGGAACATGGTAGAATGCACATGTCCCCATTTAAATTGAAGAAAAAAAAAAATGAGGGGATAATGAACTGGAAAGCATCAAAAATGCGCTGGAACATGCCAGAATCAAAAACACGCATGTAGAAACTCATCTGGAGTGCATTTCTATAGTGTGAACCGGACCCTTAAGCCAATTTAAAACACTAGATATGAACCTCACAAGGTTGACATGTACCACCCAATGCCTGAAGAATGCAGCCACAAGCTCCTATGATTTCAACATATGCCACTTTCACAATGTAATTATCTCAAATACTTAGAAACCCACCCAGAATGCATTGCAGGATGGACCAAGAGGACAAAGCAATGGAGCTTATTTGCCCAACTTTGTTGAGTTGAACCAGTACAGGACCACTTGTGGCTTCTTGGGCACCGCCAAGGCTCTGAAGGACCCAAGTAATGATTTCAGTCTAAGGGCCGCTTCACACTATAGAAACAGTCCAGATGCAATCCGGATGTGTTTCCACATGCGCGTTTGATGCGATACAGTGCATTTTCCCCCTCTCCAATTTAAACAGATGTGCATTCCACTGCGTTTCACTGCATTCCAGTGAAGTTCTATGCAGAAAAAAATGCAGCCTTTTCTACTTTTTCTGCAACTGGAATGCACCGAAACTGCAAGCACTGATGTGAACTATGACACTGAAAACCATATCACATGCAGTGTGAACTAGCCCTTAGAGGGGTAGAAAACCTTGGTACTCCCAACTGGTGAAATTACCAATCCCATCAAACCTCCAAAAGCCACCCCAGTGGCAGCCAGTCTTGCAGTGCCTCATGGGACTTGCAGACCCAACAGGTGCTATGCCACGGTTGCCCATCTACAAGCTCAGCTTCTTGTGGCAGTTAGGTAGTACAGGTTCACTTTATTGTACTAAAACAATACAGATTATTCTTGGTTCCACTCAAGAGCCAACTTCTGTATCTGACCAATCAAGTCATAGAACACTATAGGCAAGGCTTGCAACAGATGTTCACATGGCAGAATTGTGAAGGGGTAAACCGATCTGAGCAGACTGCCGGGAAGGGGTTAACCAGAGTCATGATCAAGAATCACGTTTCTTGTGCAAACCCGGAAGTGGAGCTCCCCACCCGGCACACAAAGCACAATGCAAGGTCAGGCCTGGCCTGGAGAAGTCACCACGCCTGGAGAAGTCACCACCGGGGAGGTTTAGTAATAACAGATTGGGTACGAGATTAAACCTCAAGGTGACCTCATGAAGTCACGGGGAGACCAGATTGCCCTACAAGACCTACTCTGCCATTTCTGTTCCCAGCCGGCCGATCTGTAACCGGAAAGTCCATTCACATTAAAATCAAATATTAGATCCCATTTTGGACATCTGAAGGACTGGAAGTTCTCATTTAACATGACAGGCAGAGGGGGTAGGGGTAGGAAATAGAAAATTTGAGCAATGGGCCTCTTGATTCCTCAGGTCTCTTGATACAGATAATTTGCCTTAGCCCCCCAGCACAGACCACCAAGCTATAGCTACTACTGTACGCCCCCAGCACTGACCACCCAGCTACAGCCACTACTGTACGCACCCAGCACTGACCGCCCAGCTACAGCCACTACTGTACGCACCCAGCACTGACCGCCCAGCTACAGCCACTACTGTACACACCCCCCCTGCACTAACTGCCCAGCTAGACCCACTATTGTATGCCCCCAGCACTGACCACCCAGCTACATCTGCTACTGTACGCTTCCAGCATTGACCGCCCAGCTACATCCACTACTGTACACCCCCCCCCCCCCCCCCCCCAGCACTGACCACCCAGCTGTGCCAACTATTGTATGTCCCCCAGAACTGACCCCCCCCCAGCTAGACTCACTATTGTATGCACCCTAGCACTGACGGCCTAGGCTGTATCCCCAGATAGAGCACTCTGTATATCCCCCAACTCTGAAAACCCAGCTATACCATTATTATATACTCCCAGCATTGCTGTATACCACCAGTACTGTATGTCAGGCTATAAAACTGCTGTATATCCCCCCTTTCCCCAGATACCAGCTGTAGCATTGCTGTATACCCCCAGTCATTGGATGCCAGCTGAAGCTGTCCCCGCCCCCCCCAACACTGGAAGTCCTTTACACCGTGGCTGTCCGCCCCCTCCCCCCAACGCTGGACGTCCTCTACACCGTGGCTGCCCGCCCCCCCAACGCTGGACGTCCTCTACACCGTGGCTGCCCGCCCCCCCAACGCTAGAAGTCCTTTACACCGTGGCTGTCCGCCCCCTCCCCCCCAACGCTGGACGTCCTCTACACCGTGGCTGCCCCCCCACCCAACGCTAGAAGTCCTCTATACCGTGGCTGTCCGCCCCCCCCCCCCCCCAAACGCTAGAAGTCCCCTACACCGTGGCTGTCCGCCCCACCCCCCAGAAACGCTAGAAGTCCTCTACACCGTGGCTGCCCGCCCTCCCACCCAACACTAGAAGTCCTCTACACCGTGGCTGCCCGCCCCCCCCCCCCCCCCCAATGCTGGAAGTCCTCTACACCGTGGCTGTCCGCCCCCCCCCCCCAATGCTGGAAGTCCTCTACACCGTGGCTGTCCGCCCCCCCCACCCAACGCTGGAAGTCCTCTACACCGTGGCTGACCGCCCCCCCCCCCCCCCAACACTAGAAGTCCTCTACACCGTGGCTGTCCCCCCCCCCCCCCCCCCCCCCCAATGCTGGAAGTCCTCTACACCGTGGCTGTCCGCCCCCCCCCCCCCCCCCCAATGCTGGAAGTCCTCTACACCGTGGCTGACCGCCCCCCCCCCCCCCCCCCCCAACGCTAGAAGTCCTCTACACCGTGGCTGTCCGCCCCCCCCCCCCCCCGCTGGAAGTCCTCTACACCGTGGCTGTCCGCCCTACACACCGTGGCTCCCCCCCCCCCCCCCCCAATGCTGGAAGTCCTCTACACCGTGGCTGTCCGCCCCCCCCCCCCCCCCCCCCCCAATGCTGGAAGTCCTCTACACCGTGGCTGTCCGCCCCCCCCACCCAACGCTGGAAGTCCTCTACACCGTGGCTGACCGCCCCCCCCACCCAACGCTAGAAGTCCTCTACACCGTGGCTGTCCGCCCCCCCCCCCCCCCCAACGCTAGAAGTCCTCTACACCGTGGCTGTCCGCCCCCCCCCCCCCCCCTCCCCCCCCAACGCTAGAAGTCCTCTACACCGTGGCTGCCCGCCCCGCCCACCCAATGCTAGAAGTCCTCTACACCGTGGCTGTCCGCCCCCCAACGCTAGAAGTCCTCTACACCGTGGCTGTCCTCCACCCCCCCCCCCCCCCCCCCAGACGCTAGAAGTCCTCTACACCGTGGCTGTCCGCCCCCCCCCCCCCCAACGCTAGAAGTCCCCTACACCGTGGCTGTCCGCCCCCAGAAACGCTAGAAGTCCTCTATACCGTGGCTGTCCCCCCCCCCCCCCCCCCCCCCAACGCTAGACGCTAGAAGTCTTCTACACCGTGGCTGCCTGCCCCCCCCCCCAACGCTAGAAAGTCCTCTACACCGTGGCTGCCTGCCCCCCCCACCCAACGCTAGAAGTCCTCTACACCGTGGCTGCCCCCCCACCCCCAACGCTAGAAGTCCTCTACACCGTGGCTGTCCGCCCCCCCCCAACGCTAGAAGTCCTCTACACCGTGGCTGCCCGTCCTCCCCCCAAAACGCTAGAAGTCCCCTACACCGTGGCTGTCCGCCCCCAGAAACGCTAGAAGTCCTCTATACCGTGGCTGCCCGCCCTCCCACCCAACACTAGAAGTCCTCTACACCGTGGCTGCCCGCCCCCCCCCCCAACGCTAGAAGTCCTCTACACACACCGTGGCTGCCCGCCCCCCCACCCAACGCTAGAAGTCCTCTACACCGTGGCTGCCCGCCCCCCCCCACCCAACGCTAGAAGTCCCCTACACCGTGGCTGCCCGCCCCCCCACCCAACGCTAGAAGTCCTCTACACCGTGGCTGCCCGCCCCCCCCCCCCCCAAACGCTAGAAGTCCTCTACACCGTGGCTGCCCGCCCCCCCCCCGCCCCCCCAACGCTAGAAGTCCTCTACACCATGGCTGTCCGCGCCCCCCCACGCTAGAGGTCCTCTACATTGTGGCTGTCCACAGCCCCCAACACTAGAAGTCCTCTACACCGTGGCTGTCCACATCCAGCACTGGACACCCAGCTATATACACCACCCAACCAGTCCCATCCACTACTAAAGCCAGCAATCACCTGAGTAAACTTCATGGCCACCAACTGGAAGCCCTTCTGCTCGAAGCGTTTGACGATATCTCCGACGAGGCCTCTCTGGACACCATCTGGCTTGATGGCGATGAAGGTGCGTTCCTTGTTGGCAGCCATCCTACAGAGACAAAATCAGATACATTCAGCAAAAATAACAAAGTAAAGGGCCACCAGAGCACCCCGGGACAGCAGAGGACGAGAACATCATTCAGCTCCACCGAGGCAGCAGAGCGGACAGACATGGGGAGCGCTCATCAATGTTCCTATGGGGGGTTTACTATAAAAATAAATAAAATACGGCGGCGGGTCCCAAAAGCGTCATGGGTCAACCAATCACAGCTCACGATTGCTGCAAAGTTCACCAACAACTGGAAGGGCCTAAACTCTACAATTGTGATCAGAGAGAAAAGAACTCATTTCTAAAAAAAGGAAGAAGTGACACGTTACATTGCATCCCCCAAAAGAACAACCTGTTGGGGGCCCTACAGAAAGGGCCACACCGACTGCAGCTTTCAGTCATTGTAAACCCTAAAAGCCCCTCCCCCACCCGAGAGCCCGCTTCCCTCTCCCCCCCGCCACTACACACCCTGCTCACTTCCACCCGAGGAAACTGGAAGAAAAAGAAGAGAGAACGCCCGTGCTGGCCACTTTTATACACCACCTGACGTCACGACCGGGGCGGTCCGCTGATTGGAAAAGCCGCGCCCCCACTCCTTTCCACTGCTGCGAAGGAACGAGCCGGGGGAAGATGTGAGGAGGATTCTGATTGGCGCGGAGAGGAAAAAAAAAAAAAAGGCGGTCTCCCTGCTGGTTATGCTAATTAAGGGTGTGGCGCGGTGCATGCCGGTCCTGACATGACAGATGGGGCTATGTATAGAGAGCGGACATGTAATGCAGATTATGGCGCTTGAAATAGTGTGGGGCGGGGCAGTGTGAGTTGGGGGCGGGGCGATAGGGGACAATTACCTGATAAATTATTAAATAACATCAAGAAGAACAATTGAGTTCTGTCCGTGATACTTGTTTTACTTTCACTAATTTACTAATAGGGCTACAATCACCTCAAGCTAAGTAACACCAAAGAATACAATTAATTAAAAAGGAAAAAAATATATATATATTTATATAATGTGATAGAAACAATGATATACACTATTCTGCCGAAATTATATGATCCCTTATAATAGACATTTTTAAAAAGGTATTTATAATGTTTATGTATATTTATATTATATATATATATTATATATATTTTTTTTTTTATTTTATATATATATATATATATATATATATATATATAAAATATATATATATTTTTTTTTAAAATATATATATTTATATATATATATATATATATATAGATAGATAGATAGATAAAAAGGCAATATATTGTATATATAATATATATATATATATATATATATATATATAAATATATATTTTAAAAAAAAATATATATATATTTATATATATATATATATATATATATATATATAAAATATAAAAAAATATATATAATATATATATATATATAATATATATATACATAAACATTATAAATACCTTTTTAAAAATGGCAATATAGTGTGTGTATATATATATATATAATTTATATATATTTATATATATATATTTATTTATGTATATACACACACACACTATATTGCCCCAAGTATTGGCCCCGCCCTTTCCACACACATGACCTTTAATGGCCCCCCAGTCTTACTCCGTAGGGTTCAATATTGAGTTGGCCCCGCCCTTTGCAGCTATAACTTACGTTCACACTAGCGTTGTGTGCAGGCGGCAGAGAGGCGTTTGGGAAGTGTTTTTACCGCTTCCCAAACGCCTCTGGCAATTCTGCACATTGCAGCACATGGTGCTGTTCTAACGGGAGCGTTTGCGTCAAGGCAAAACAGATGCCTCTGGATGAGTCAGGAGGCGTTGAAGCCTCCTATTCTCGTCTATGGTGCCGCTCCGCAAACGCTCGGCCGGTGTTTGCAGCGCGGTTGCAACGCAGTTGCGGGGCGTATGCGGAGCGGTAACACCATTCAAACTTCATTCTAGGCGTTTGTGGGGCGTTTTTAATGCTCGTCAAATGCCTAGCAACCGCCGCTAAACCGCGCATGCGGCGTTTGCGGAGCGTTAAAAAAACGCTCCGCAAACGCCGGACCAACACTTGCCAAACGCTATAGAGGCGTTTGGCAAGCATTGGTAAAACAGTCAAGTGTGAACGAGCCCTAACAGCTACAACTCTTCTGGGAAGGCCGTCCACAAGGTTTGGAGGGTGTCTATGGGAAGGTTGGACCATTCTTCCAGAAGCACATTTGTCAGGTCAGGCACTGATGTCGGGGGAGGAGGCCTGGCTCACAGTCTCCGCTCTAATTCATCCCAAAGGTGTTCTATGGGGTTGAGGTCAGGACTCTGTGCAGGACAATCAAGTTCCTCCACCCCAAACTGGCTCCTCCATGTCTTTATGGACCTTGCTTTGTGCACTGGTGAGCAGTCATGTTGGAACAGGAAGGGGCCATCCCCAAACTCTTCCCACAAAGTCCAAAATGTCACCTTAAGAGTTCCCTTCACTGGAACTAGGGGGCCAAGCCCAATCCCTGAAAAACACCCCCACCCCAAATCCCCCCTCCACCACACTTTACACTTGGCACAATGCAGTCAGGCAAGTACCATTCTCCTAATAAACAGAAAAAAGTGAGCGCTACTGATAAAAACAACCACCTTTGGTATAAATAAAATAAGTAAAGTGCAGCGCTAAAATGACAATTGGAAAAAGTTCAATCTCCAAAGTTCGATAAAGAAGTGATCTAGACACACACATAAATGTTCATAGGATCAAGCAAAATAAGTGGACACAGCTGAAATCGGATCCGGGAAATGGCAAGAATGCACACTCACCAACCGCACATAGGGAATGCGCGTTTTGTTTTATATCCCATCAAACGAGTACCGATACCCCACAGGGAGAGATGTCCTCAAACGGTCTGCTGGGCTAATATGGTCTCCTCAGTTTAAAATGGATCACTCACGGCACACGTCCCTTCCAGGTACAGGTATCCCTCCTCTGGGTGATGTGTAGCTGTGTCTGCCGACCCCTCAGTGGGGGGTAAAAAATGGAGAAGTACCCATAGTGTAGTATATCCAAATTTATTGGTGAAGAAAGGGTTAACAACCCAGGTCAGCAATATTACTGGCAAAAAGCCAGAAAACACAGAAATAAGATTGATTAAAAAAGTAAATTACTGACCCTTTAAAAGCAAACACCCAGACCTCCACGTGGTCTGGTGATAGAGAGGCGTCACAGGCTGTCAGTTCCTCCTGAGGCCTTTCGTGCTAAGGCACATCTTCAGAGGGGATGCTGACAGCTCTGTGACCGACGCCAAATGAATATATGGAGAAAACGCGGGGTTCGCGCATGCGCAATGGATCGCCGCCATTTTCCAGAAGACCATACAACTGCGCATGCGCGCACATCGAAGCGCCATTTTACCACAGATATACAGAGCTGTCAGCAGTGATATCTCCAGCCAAGCTAACTAAACGCCTATACAGCGCAATTAAGCCTGAGACATGGCTCCACGTTCCCAGGGAGGTGGGTTGGTAATTTATTACAGATACTATCCTACCAAAGAGGTAGGATAGCGAATTACTTTCTGCAATACTATCTCATTGGTAGATTCACCACAGTGGGGGTGACATAATAAGGGGATGTTAAAGATAAACCCATATCATGAAAAAAGCGCTCCGAGTGCCCAGATAACAAACATTAACGGTCTACAAAGTGTCATTACATCCAAGTGATTAACGGTCTATCAAAGAGCCAGATAAACAAAGATAAAAACAATATATATCATATGTCAAAAATCATATATAAAAATGCATATATTAAATTGCATAACATATCATATGAATACCATATATATTAAATAAATGGATAAATAAAAAAGGCTTGTGGTCGTGAAACAATAAGCCGAATAAGGTAGCTTACAATAAAATAAATTAAATGGGCAAAGTAGGATAGCTAAAAATGAATCAATTCAACTAGGACTAATGTGTTAAGTATTGCGTACCCCACCCAATACTTAATTCTGTTTTTAGGGACACCAAATTGATGCCATGGGGTTTAGGTTGTGCATGTGACGCACCACCTATAAGGTAATTTTTTATTTTTTAAAATATGTACTACTAAAAGGTGATTTCGACCACACATGTTGAATATTGTAAAAGAAAAGGTAACATTAATTCATCCTTGGCATATCTTAGGTGCTCCGGGAACAATGATCACCAACACGTGTAATATATGTATTTCGGTACAAGTCCTTATGTACTGATCCTTAGGTTTACACCGGAAGTACTCAGGGTAATGCTGGTATGGTAATAAATTGAGTTTTTGGAAATACTATAGAATAGAATAGCATAAATAGAATAGAACAACCTAGACGAACACATAATTCAAACTTAAAATGCAGGGCTAGTATTGGTCAGTCATGAAATATACTCTGTGCAGGTCATAATTCAATAGACAACAGGGCGAGAAGTGACTAGGCCAAACAAAAAGAGTGAAGTGACACAATAATAGAGAAAAGGATACTAACTATTTGCTATATAGCAATTGATATCTATTTCAATATTGTGCCCTTTAGGGTGTAAGGTATCAAGTTCATACACCCATTTTGTTTCAGCCTGTGATACGGCCCTGGTTTTATTCTGACCCCTCCAATGTGGTGGTATTGTCTCAATTCCTACAAATTTGAGGGAAGAGGGGTCACAATTGTGGAATAGCCTATAGTGGTTCGAGAGTGAATGCTCTCTATAGCCCTTCCTGATATTAGCTACATGCTCTCGCAGCCGGTCACGGAGGCGTCTGGTCGTGCGCCCCACGTATTGTTTATGACACGGGCATTGGAGAAGGTATACCACAAATCTATTATTACAGGAGATGAATTGGTTGATGGTGTATGTTTTATTGGTAGTAGAAGAGCCAAAGTTGTTAATCCTGTTCTTCCTTGTACCGTTACACTTACAGATAATACATTTGTTACAGGGAAAAAACCCTTTAAAGATCTCCAAAAAATGTGGCACCTGTCGGAGGGTTTATTGCATTAGGG